CCCACCCTCCCGTGGACCGCCAGACACGTAGCCGACACAGAAGGTACGCTCACACTTGCAAAAAAAAAAATAATAATAATAAAAAAAATAAAACACACGCGAGGGACGTGAGCTGCATGAAAACAACCGTTCTTAATCGTAATCCAAAAACAGCAAAGGAAGCGGAATGGTATGGCGGCTTCTTTACGATGGGACAATCTTGCTATTGTACATTTACGGCTGCGGTTCGTGTCTGTATGAAGCGAATAAAATCAAGGTATGCGATCAAAAGTGTCACGGGGGCTTCACTTTTTTGCTTCCTGGCTTTGCACGAAACAGCACTCCTGGGCCACTTTATTAGGCACAGCTTTAATCGCTGTGCCGAATAGTTTTGGGGTACAAGATTACCTCTCAAAAATGTATGTCGCAGGTTTAGGTTTTCACTAAGTCTGTCACAGGCTTATTGCGAATTGCGATTCTAACTTTGCAAAGATAATCATGATCAAAAATTAATTACGTATTCGGTATTTACGCATTTTTTTAATGAAAATTTGTGAAAAAGCAAGCAAGCCAAAAAAAATGTTTAGCAATATTTGGGCAATATGTCTTATTATTGTGTTTGTGGTGGTGTAGAACTGTACAATGATTCTATCATCTCACTACATAGGGTCACCAAAATATTCGGAGCCCGACTGATTAGTCAGCCAGATAATTTTATCAGCTGATATTTGGTTTTCAGAACTGATTTTTTTGGAATCGATTAACACCTGACAATGTAAGACACAAAATCCGTATCGGTCAGGCTCAACCCTTCATTATGGACATATTCCAAAATAATTGTCTGTCTGTGACATTGTCAGGCAAACTTGGTGTACCCATGAAACTGAAAAGGTGTCCTCAACGCCCCCACCCACACACACACACACACACACACACACACACACACACACACACACACACACACACACCACTATCATTAAGGGCGTGCACATGAATATTAAAATGATCCCACTTTGATTGCTTCGCTTTCCAGCGAGGACTCGACTTGAGGAGAATAGACGGGAAAAAGGCCGAAACGTTGATCCGCAAAATAAATTGATATGATAATCAGAAGCCGCATTGTCCTCCCATCAAAGCATTTTTATGCTTAGTTGTTGTTTGGACAGTTTGGATTCTTTGTCCATTTCGACGCTCTGACGTGTGTCTCGCCATGTCAAGGTTGTTGACATGGTTGTCCTGCACATTTCATCCAAAGTACTAAATGCTTCCCCAAGCCTAAAATGTAACCCAGAGCAGAACTACAACTAGAAACAGACTTGAACCACAACTCGAACCTGAAGCAACCTACAGCCACTATTGAAATCCAAAACCAGAAACGTCAACCGCCCATTTCATCAAACAATATTTTCAACCTTAACCGCCAACCCTCACATCCTCTCGCCTTCTCCCCGCCACAATCCCTGAGAGCCAATGATGTGTCCTATTTAGGTCCAAAATTGGAGCCTCTCCATCCATCCATCCGTGTGTGTGTGTGTGTGTGTGTGTGTGTGTGTGTGTGTGTGTGTGTGTGTGTGTGTGTGTGTGTGTGTGGTGCGTGTCAAAGCGTGTGAGCAGCCACTATGACAAATGTGAGGAGACAGGCCTTAATGAGAAACATAGTTGGAGGAAAAGATAGCATATATAGGACATTTCACTATGTTGTCACATGTACTTCCGCGTGGCAAAAGTTGAAGCTTCTTCCGCGCTATTAATTGTAAAACAAACCCGTAGTTGTCGAGCGATTTAGTTTACATCGGTTCCCGATTGTGTGTTTTGGTAAAAAAAAATATATATAAATATGTACACACTGTATTTTCCGCACTATAAGGCGCTTTGGAGTATAAGGCGCACCTTCAATGAACGGCCTATTTTTTTTAACTGTTGAAATAGAATGGCGCATAGAATGGAAGCTACAACAGTGGCTGCGGTTGCGTTATGCATCCACTAGATGGAGCTACGCTAAAGGGAATACAATACAATACAGTACAGCTTTATTCATATAGAGCCCTGGCCAGTGAAGGTGCACTTTATACTCGGAAGCGCCTTATACTGCGGAAAATACAGTGTGTGTGTGTGTGTGTGTGTGTGTGTGTGTGTGTGTGTGTATACACATCATGACAGCAATCATCTCTCCCGCCGAACTGCACCTACAATTCCCGACTTGCACAGATTAGTCCATTTGGTCATGGAATCTGCGGCAATGGATTTGAATCCTCTGATGTTCCACTTCTCTCACCAAAGATCAATTTACCCCGTTTTCCTTGAATGTGGAGGTTGGGAGGAGCGGGATTCTCGGGCTGGCAGCCAATCGATGAGTGACAACCCGGTGCCAAAGTGAATAATCATAATAGATGGAGATGATTTATTCATGATGAGAGCCTAATGGAGCCGTGACCAATGAGTGGCGTGCTGACAGCTGAGAAGACGGCGAGAGATGAAAGAGGGAGCAGACGGCGGCCGTCACATGGACTCAATCCCAGACGTGCTGACGGACGCAAAAGCGCGCGCCACTTTTCCTCTTCGCACGCACACGCGGTCGTCGGCATTAAAGCGACACTTTGGAGTTTTTCGACACGCGTCCGTCTACAAGTCATCGTCAAAGCAACACGATGTAGTTGTTGGACACATGTCGAATTATTAGGCAGAAATATATATCGTGTCGTCTCCCTTTCTCGTGTGTGCGTTGTTCGCTTTCGTCATTTATTAACTGAATGATGTCATCTTCTTGCAGTGACATCATGGGGAAGGCTAGTCCATTCCTGCTTACGCCAACGTGCTCCTAAGGGAGAGCACGAATGGTAGCCTGGATTTGATGTTATTTAACAAACACATGCTGCGGTTTAAAGAGCGTCAGCGTTTTCAAAATGTCCTCATCAGGGAACTTTATTTATCTTACTTTAATACTCATGAGATGAAGTTCATAAAGCAACAGCGAAACGAGCAGCTGGCTATCAACGTGGTTTATGCGCTGAGGTCATATTTATCTTGCTGTTTTTTTAAACACTCCTAGTGGAGGGCGTTGTTGTTTGTGGCTCTCAAGGGTGTGCTTCAGGGGGCGGTGTCGCGCACACACACGTTGCAGGCAGCATAAAAGTGCATCATGAGACTCACAGCGGAATTCCCAAAAGCAAAGTGCAAATAGACGCGACGGTAAAGATGATTACCAATTTATTTTAGTTCTCCAACTCAAATGCACCAAACTGTGTTTTTTATCAAGAATTTATATTGCATAAGAACAATACAACAATCACATGACTGAATAGAATATCAAGAAATTTTGCTTCAGTTCAATGTAAGTTGCGCTGCTCCTTCTGATGTGTGTGCGCCTTGGCCACCAGGTGGCAGTATATTACATTGGTGTGATAAATTGTGTTAAAGTGTAAAATAAATACATCCATTTAAAAAAAAGATAATTTATGTTGCTTATAAAAGTATTAATATTGGCCAATGAAATCAGCCGACTAACTAATTAATTGGTCAGGCCTTTAATATTAGTTGTTCGCCGCTGAGGATAAAGAATATATTCCTGTGAGTATTGTGGTATTGTCTACGTGTGTTGCTGCCCGTTTTGTGTTCAGATATCTGCCACAAATGGGTTGAAAGGCTGTGAGGCAGATGCTATTCGTTAGCCGGCCTATTGCGTTTTGGATCGTTTGTTAGCATTAAGCTAAACAAACTTTATGAAGACAAAGCTATGTGTTATGTTTAGTTTGACAATAAACTTGAGGCGGGAGCTCAAATTTTTGCCTACAACTCAAAACAACTATCCATCAATTGGTTTTCGATGTTCAGTCATGATCTGGGGCTGCTTTGCTACACCTTGCATGTGATCTTTTGACTCTGGTTCACATGCAAATTAAACTCATAAAAAGTCTTGCCGGATTTTGTCAAGTTGATTGTCGGTGCTAATATGAGAGAAGTTATCTCAAAGAGTTTTATGTTTTGTTTTGTTTTTTTTTTAAAACCTTTTTTAAGGATGATGAGGAAGGAAGAAAGCGGCTCAGACGTAGTGTTCCACAGCTGCTGCACAATTACGATCCAATAGAATCACGTCCACCCCCCCACCCCCCGCCTGTCATAACGCACGTA